GGGCTGAGGCTGCACGGTACTCAGTAGCAGAGCATTTACCTAGCATGAGAGGGTCTCATTTCCATTCTTAACTCTACTTGTAAAGCTAATTTTATTTATTATTATTATTATTATTATTTTTTTTTTTTGGCGGAACCAAGGATTGAACTCAGGCCCGTGCACTTGCCAGGGAAGCACTTAATCCACTGAGCCATCTCCCTGGCCCTGTTAATTTTATTTTTATATAAAATTTATTTCAAAATACAAAAATGGTATGTGGACATAGCTCAGTGATAGTGACTGCCTAGCACATCAGAGGCCCTGAGTTCAAGTCCTACTACTACATACACCCCGTCTTCCCCTCCAAAAAGTAGGAATGGTAGTAAACACCTGTAATTCCAGTATTCTGGGAACTTGAGGCAAGATAATTGTAAATTTGAACCCAGCCTATGTAATTTAGTGAGACCCTGTCTCAAAATAAAAAATGAGCTGGAATGTAATGTTGTGAAAAGTCCTTGGGTTCAATCCCCAGTACTGCAAAATAAAATACAGTAACTACATTTTGATTGGAATAAGGCAAAACCTCCATTTGAGATAAGAACATGATATGGGACTGAGGAACAACTTTCTTGTATTCTTAGGGTATTTATTTTACAAACAAGATGGAGAATTGAAAATATGTAAAAAAACAACAAAGGGAATTATGTGTATACAAATACGTAAATATATGTGAATTATTTCTCCTATAAACTCAGAAAAATATTATTTCTCTATGTGTTTTTAACATAATTGCTGAAAATATAATGTGCTCTAGAAATAAGCAATAATGGATGCTCCCTCTTACATCAGAGTTGTCCCTAAAAAGTCAATAAACCTGGGGTAGTGGGGCATGGCTGTAATCTCAACACTCACCTAAGGCAAGAAGATCAAAGTTCAAGGCCAGCCTGAACTATATAATGAGTGCCTGTCTCAAAAAATAAAACTAAAAAGTGAGTTATTTTAGACTTATGTTATAGTTACCATTTGGTTAATTCTCCCTTCACTCTGGAAATCATTACTTTACATATGTGAAGAAAATACGCCAGCCCAGAGAAGCCACTAATTTTTATATAAATACAATGTATATTCATAACAGGAGGGATTGAAGTACTCAGGTACATTTTTCCTACACTTAAATTTTCTTATGTTCACGAAACAAGAAAGAAAGACAAATCACCGTGCAAACAGCATCAGCAACTCTCAGCCACAGCATCAAAATAGGAAGTCCGCCAGCAGACACTTTGCAGCCAAGCTAGGTCCTACACAAAAAAATCCCTTTCGTACAAAGAAAAATGTTTTGCTTTTGTTTTTTGAAAAAAGGCTGTAACTGGCAAAATTTTTTTCCTCAATGCTTGTCTCGAAGTTCAGTGTTGTAACTTCCTATTCCTGATGCCTACAGTATTAGTCAAATTGAATGCAAATATTCATTAATGCAAATGTGCTTCCACTTCTGAGTGGTGGATAGATATTCTTTCCAATCTTATTTTCACCTACTTTTCTCAAAATATTTACTGAAGGAAACAAAAGCATTTTACAAGCTCTACTTTTTTTCAAAAGCTGAAACCAAATGTGTGTTAGATTTTGTGTATACCGGAGGGGGCACATTCCCCAGATGATTACATCACTTAATAATCAATAGTATTTTCTGCTGCTTTTGCTCCATGCATCTCTTTTTTTATATATGCATCTCTCTGAAACTCAAGAATTTAACTCAATAATGAAGAACACGTATTTCAGAACTAAAAATAAGTTATAGGTAGTTGTTGTGGTACATGGCTGTAATTTGGGAGGTTGAGGTGGGAAGACTGAAAGTTCAGTCCAGCCTAAACAATTTAACAACTAAGATTCTGTCTCAAAAAATGGAAAGGGGTGCTGAGATACAGCTCAGTGGGAAAGTTTAGTCCCAGTATCACACCAAAAAAAGTGATTTGCTGTGAGGGACATGGGCAAGATGAGTCAAACTGGTGCCAGTTACAGACTTGAGCTTTGTGTTGATGGTAGTCTGTCTGAAAGGCCTGTGAGGGACTGGACTGCTCTCAGCACCTTACACCCTTCCCAGGCATTTAATACAGTTAACCAAATATATGAACAACTTCCTCTTCCCTCATTTTAATTTTAATTTTTTTGAGACAGCATCTGGCTCTGTAATTCAGGCTGGGCTTGAATTCACTATGTAACCCAGGCTGGCCTCGAACTGGCAGTGTTGGTCCTGCCTCAGCTTCCCCAGCGCTTGATTACAAGTATGCGCCACCAGGCCCAGCCTCTTATTGTTATTAAGGTAGTGCAGAAGCTACTAGTCTCAGCTACCCTACACCATTCCAAATCATGAGCCAAGCTGTTCCCTCAGACATTACGCTGACTTCTACTCTGATGATAAAGTAGAGTCAGTTGGGCTAATTTTCTATCGTGTGTATTTGTAGAAGAAAAACTAAACAGAGATTAAAAACTGGGACATTTTCAGGGATATAGCTTTTTATTTTTCAGGGGTGGGAGGAGTACTAAAGGTTGAACCAAGGGCCTTCTTATGGAACTACAACCCCTATGCTGCTGCTGCTTCTTTTTTTCAGATAGTCTTGTTAAGTCATTAAGTTGCCTACCCTAGGCTTAAATTTGTGATCTTCCTGCCTCTGCCTCAGCCTCACAAAGTGTTGGGATTACAGGTATGCACCACTATGCCCAATCTGTTGTAGCATTTTTAACTGGCTCTTTACAACCATACTGTTCTGAATGCTCACTAGTCAAAAAATTTTTTTTCATGGAGACAGTCTATGGAGCCCATGCTGACCTTGAATTTAGGGCAATCTTCCTGCCTCTGCTTCCCAAATGCTTGGATTACAGGTATGTGCCACTATGCCTTGCTTCAAAATAATTTTTGTAAGCAAAAAGAATGATAACTTTATGCTCTTTTACAAATGCTAACATGAACTGTGAAAGTGAAGGATACTTGAACATTAGTTTTTGATCAGTGTATGTGCGATTTCTGCTAACAAGGATTAAAAACTTTACAGCTATGATAGTTATCTTTTGTATTTCATACATTATGTTTATTGTCTATTGGTTACATTGTTAACTATTTAGGATATCAACCATTCCTGTTCCGCATAGAAAAACAGTGACTTGATGTATTTTTAAAGATCTAATTACAATAAGTTATTTGTGCTAGTTATAGTATGATTTTTTTCCACCAGAGTAGAATAAATGTAATTATCTATTTGCATAAAGTACTAAATTTCTCATGAGTGAAAGAAAAAATCCTCAAGAACATAAACTCCAACAGGCTTCAAATGTCAAAAATAATGGTATTAAGGGCCGGCGAGATAGCTCAGTGGACTAAGTGCCTGTTTAGGCAAGTGCAGGGACGGGGTTCCATTCCCAGCACCACATGCTGCACTGGCTCTATCCCCAGGGTGCACTGAGTTGCCGTTGAGACCCGGCATGGTGGTGCACGCCTGCAATTGCAGCATTGAGGAGGCTGAAAACAGGAGGATCACTACAAGCCCGAGCTGTGTAGTGAGACCCTGTACCAAATATATTTTTAAAAAAATGATAATAATGGAGCTACATTTTATTTATGTTACTTTGTAACAATTCACAAAATGTCTTTTTTAATGTATACATGTTAATTTCAAAGGTCAAAATTTGACCCACAGGTGTCCAAATTCACATATTAGGGATATTATGAAGGATAGAGGTAACAAATTGTCTATCATGTTTCCTAAAAAGCAGATTAAACTAGACAAAAATTTCACTACATTTATCCCATTGAATGTTTTTTATTTGTGCAAGGTCAAAGTCTTTCTAACAAATCAGTATCCAAACTTTACATGAAAAATTTCAGTTGAGACAATAAACTATTTATATGGGGCTTCTCAGATCTAGCCA